TCCACCGTCATCACGCCCCGGCGGCTCCACCACGGCCACGGGGTGCACCAGCTCCGCGCGTGAGTGGCCCCAGGTCCCACACTGGTGAAGCCCAGTGATGCCAGCCCAGCCAGGAGGTCTTCTCCAGAGACTGGAAGTCAACCAGGACTCTGGTTATCTTGGCAGATGTGGCAGAGGGAAGAAAGATCTTTGTATCCGGGGGTATGAAGGGAAGGATAGGGACCAAGCGTGACCATCATCATCAGAAAACACCAGCTGGGGTGAGGTTCCTCCTGCTCTGCTGGAGGAGAGAAAAAACACCCCTCATTCTTCCCAGCCAAATTAGGACAGGGTATCTCCTGTTCCCACCTCGCCCAAACACAACAACAAAAAGGACCTTTGTTTTTCCTCGCTGCTCCAAACCCTCCCCACGCCAAGACATTTGATACAAGGCGCCCAAGGGCTGTTTCATCTCCCATCTGGCATTCCCCTCTCTTCTGGTGATCTGCTAGTAGTGGTAACAGCTTCAGGAATAAAAGGTGGTGTGATAAATACCGGTTGTGATCTGTGTGTGTGCACCCACGGGAAGTCCAGGCACACAAGTCCCACCACCCCCTTTCTACCTCCAGGCTGGGGCAGGAGGAAGCCCCTGAGCCTCAGGGTCCCCAAAGGGGCTCCAGCAGCCAGCGAGGAGGAAGCCCAGGGGCCAGAGGCCACCGGGGTTGGTCTCCTCCTACCATTCCACATCCCTTTGGATCCCATGGGGGGGAATCCTGAGCTGGGAGCGTAAAAACCCCAACACGGGGGTCACTGATCCTTCTGCAGATGGGCCCAAAGCGTTGGCCTCGTTGGCCAAACTCATCTACTCCGGGTGTCCCAGAGCTGCGCAGAGCTCTGGCCACAGCAAGGTAAGCTGCCATTTCACTGCCCCGCTGAGCTGCAGGCTGTCCTTGCAGGCTCACCTACTCCTGTTTTAACGTTGGGGTTTTTTTTGCGTTTGAGCTGTAAGGTCATTGGGCTTTGTCTGGAGAACATGGCTAGGCAGCTCCAGACATCACTGGGTTTTGGTATGGTACCCACCCATCTCCTTGAACCTTGGCAAAGTAACACACCAAACCCATAAGTGCAGACCTTATAAATAAAGAGAATCGGTGGCAGAAAACATCATTTCTTTCTCCTACTCAGTACCAAGCCAAAGTGAGCGTAACTTCAGGTATGGCTCCGAGGCCATCGCCCTGTTTCCAACCATGGCAAACCTCCCCAGTGGATCTCCAACCTCCCCAGTCACTTGGTGTGGTCTGAGATGAGGATGGCATCTCCTGATGGGGAGCAGTCTTTCCCTGCAGGAAAGGTCTCAGCTCCCAGCTGCATGGAAAGGGTCTTCAAAGAGGTCAAGATGGACTTTGGTGGTCTCCCACCAGCGTCACGGGGGGGCTGATTAATGTAGTCTGATGTGGGCAGGATGCTGAAGATGCTCCCATTAGGAGCTGCCCTCCAAATTACCTCCTGCATGGGCCTGTGGGTGTGGGGGTACTGGTGGGACACCGGGTTTGGTGGTCGTCTTTACAGGAATGGTTTTGAATCAGGCGGGTGAGAAAGACTCTGACTTTATTCTTCTTTCTCCTCTTTTCTTCTCCTCCCAGGCACGCAATGAGGGAGACAAGGAAAGATATCCATGGCGAGAAGACAGGCCCTTGTTATTCAGTTCATGCAAGATCTGGTGGGGACGAAGGAGGCAAAACACACTCCGTGTTCACCTTTCATAACCTTGTCCACAGCAGCCTGCAACTCCAAGGTACCGATGAAGGACCCGCGGCGCTGCCTCCTCCGGCGGTCCGCCTCGGTGACCAACCCCTTGCAAAGGACGCTCATGGAGATGTTCATCAGCCTCTTTGCCTTCACCGACATGCGCCTGGTCGGTGGTGGCAGCTGGCTCAGCAGCCCGGAGATGTACCTGTTGCAGGATCCCTTCTTGAACCAGCTGCTTAATCCCGTCGGAGCTCGTTTCCATCGCCCAACCTGAGGTGGAGACCTTCCCCACTTAAGCAGAGGCTTCATCCACTGGATTTTCTGTTTCCTCCTCCTTCTCCTCCTCCTCGAGGTTTTTCCTTGTCTCTTGGTGGCTGCAGCCATGGGGTCTCCTTCAGACTCAGTGCTCCTCCCTGCAAAGGTGTCCCACCAGACCCACGGCTCTCATAGATGGACATATTCAAATGAGGGATTGACATTGCAGCCCAGGATTGGCCAGTTGCGGCAAAGCCCTTGTGAGGCAGGGCTTCCTCATCCAGAATTTGCATAAGGGTTTTTTTGCCTGAAAAGCATGGAATTAGACCAAAAGAACACACCCTCTTTTTGACTTGACTTAACCGTTGGGTTGACGGTTGGACTTGATGATCTTAGAGGTCTTTTCCAACCTTAATGATCCTATGAAAATCCCAAAAAGTTTTCTCCAAAACCACCTTTCCTTCTGCATTTCCTTGCGGAGAAAGTCAGAAACAACTCGATTTCGATTCTTCCTGGGTTAATTATTGCACTCGCTTAACGAAGGCAGACGGTCAGCACGCAGAGGGAAGGTTTTCAGAAAGATCTGGAGCTAAACCTGGAAATGTCAGGCTTTGCCTTTCCAGGCCAACTGGAGAAATGTCGGAAAAAAGCTTTCGGTGGCCCCTGCTGAGCTTTGCAGAGTGACGGGGGAGACTTCCGAGAGTGCAAACAATAAGGAGAAAAGCGATCAATTCGGTTATGGAATAAAAATAGGAAGTAAAACTCAGTTGGTGTTAAATTAAATGAAATCAGGGATTTTTCCAGCACCAGGGGCACGTGAGCGTGCCTCTTCTTTTTTCCATCTTTCTCCTCATTTTTCTTTTCAGAGGTGGTGACCAAATCACAGCCAGGCCCACGGTGTGTTTCAGTGTAAATCGGGCTGGTCTGGCTTTTCTGAAAAAGCAAATCCTTGTGTTATCCTGAGTGGGCAACGGCGACCGCGTGGACCGGGGACGGAGGAACGGAAGCAGAGGAGCAGAAAAGAGCCAGAAAAATAAACTCGCCGCAAATTCGGAGGGTTATGAAAGAGGCAGGAAAGATCAAGATGTGGAAGGATTAGTTGTTGAGGATGAGGAAGGCGAGGAAGGTTTTTGACAGTGTCAGGATGGCCGAGTGGTCTAAGGCGCCAGACTCAAGGCTTTGCTTTCCCTGTCCGGGGTTTTCTGGTCTCCGAATGGAGGCGTGGGTTCAAATCCCACTTCTGACACACCTTTTCCTTCTAAAAACCGAAATTTTTATAATTTTTTAAAAATAATTCCCCCACCTGAGTTAGGGAAAACGCCGATTCTCCTTTATTCCCCCGC